CTTAAAAAAAAAAAAAAAGAATGTGTTTCTAAGCCAGGGGCTTGGTGGAGCGGTTGTTGGCAACAGTAATAACAATGAATTCTTTCTCCTCCCATCCCCAGACACTCTTGGCCAGAGCACTTTATGACAACCACCCAGACTGCTCCTACGAGCTGGCTTTCTGCAGAGGAGACATCTTGACCATTCTGGAACAAAACGTGCCAGAAAGCGAGGGCTGGTGGAAGTGTTTGCTCCATGGAAGGCAAGGTCTGGCCCCTGCCAACCGCCTCCAAATCCTCCCTGAGGCCCCCGCTGACAGGCCCTGTCCCCCTTTCCTGAGAGGCCTGGAGGAAGCTCTCGCCAACTCCGAGGAGACCTACCAGGTACCCACCCTGCTCAAGCCCCCAACTCCAGGCCCTGTATATGAGCACATGAAGGGCTGGGTAGAGCGGCCTCCACCCACCACCGCGCAAGTCTACGAATTCCCTGACCCACCTGCCCACGCCAGAATCGTCTGTGAAAAGACTCTAAGCTTTCCGAAACAGGTATGCATGTTTCCAAATAAAACAGAAGGGTCGAGGGATATGTAACTCCCAGGGGCTGACCTTGCCCTTGAGTTCTTGGTGTCCATTGGGAGGATCAATGTGCAAAGTGGGAACCTGGACCCCTTTGACTGGGTGATGATGGGAGCTCGTATTTGGCCCCCAGTTCAGTTCTCACTAATATTCTCGGCACTCTAGTGATTCCCCACCCCACCCCCTGCCCCCTGCTCTCCAAGACATCCCCACTTGGCAGGAAATTGAAAGCTTAGTGGAGCTGTTCATGAAAGTATTAAGGACTTCCACCATGGCCTTTTTGGACACTAGGACTTCTAGTGATTGGTTCAAAGGCAAGACATTACCCAACAGATTTAACATCTATATTCCTTTCAGCCAAGAAACTTTACTTCCAGAATTGCTACAGAAATACCCAAGGAGGCAAACATATATCTGGGTGAGGAGGCCATGGCCATAATAGCATTTTTTGTTATAGGGAAAAATCTAAGATGCCTAAATGTTTGTTAATGGGGGGATTGGTTGCATAAATGTTTGTTATCCCTACAACATACTAGGCACTTGTCAAAAAAAAAATGAAGTCGTTCTAGGAGGCACATATAAGGGAGAAAAAATAACCATTTAAACAAAACCAACCAAACAAAAACTAAACAAAACAAAAAAAACCAAATGATCTGTGTGTATATATGTGTGCGTGCTCACCACTGAAAGAACACACACCTACAGAGGTCCCCTTAGGAAGTGGAGTTGGTCACTCTTACATTCCCTGTACCTGCCACTGTGCCTGGCCTGGGGTGGGTGCCCAGTTAATGAGCAGAGAGATCAGGAAGTTGATTTGTGTGTTCTATACAGTATGTATGACATCTGCAATTTTCAAAAATAGCAATTTAAAAAAAAAAAAACAGAGGAAATGAAGCACTAGGTAGATGCAGAATGAAAACATTTTTTTTTTTTTATATGGAAAGGAATTTAAAGAAGAAAGGAGAAAAGTAATGTATTGCTGTCCCCAGGCCCGGGCCTTGATGAGGTGTTAAGCACGCAGAACAGATTTGCATGGTCTTCTGTCACTGTGGGTGTTTCCTGCACACTTTGCTTTCAGCTCAAAGGACACATCCCACCTGGCCCCAGCTCTGGGCAGGGGTCCTGGCAAGGTCTGCGTCCAGGAAGGCTGCTCCCCCGCCCCCCCCGCCTGTGAACCCCACAAGGAAGCTGGTCACGCCTTCTGCGGCAGCCCACCGGGAGGCCTGGCACGCTCAGCTGCTGTCTGAGCAGCTGACTCAGAGCAGGGCCTTGGTGGGGCTTCCTCCACGAGCAAGTAGTCTCTGCCGAAGTTAAGTTGGGTTTCCCCCTCTCCCCAAAAGGCACACGGGGGCCGTGTCTTCTGTTCACCGGGTGTCCCAGGCACCCGAGCCCAGGGAAGGCTCCTACCGCTTTAACGTTTGTTAAATGAATGAAGTGACCGTGGACCCCAACTTCTAGACGGGCATCGCAATAAAGAGAACGATGCGTTTACTCTCTAAACCTAACTCGGCGAAGGGTCAGGGCGTTGGCTGGGAGATGTGCCCTTGACGTGAAGCGTGTCTGTGATGGGAGCCCCCCACCCACCGCCTTGTAAGGCTGCGGCCGTGGACAGAAACCACAACCACGATGGGGAATTCAGAAACCAGGGGCTCTTGAAGTGGGCCCAGTAAGACACCTGGGGAACTTTCCTGCCTTTTTCTCCTGCTTCCGTTTCCTCTGTGGCTGCTCCATCTACATTTTTCTCCCTCCTCCCCCACTTTTTGTTTGTATCGCCTTCAATGCGCTTGCAGGGGCAGGGGAGGGGAGGGGGGTCTCTGAGAGCAAGAAATGCCAACTGTGGCTTGGAAATCAGTAGTGTGGTCACCTGGCTTCCGGGGCAGCCACAACCATGCTGGGAGAGTGGGCCCATCCCAACACCCCTCTATACCTCTCTGTCTTGCCACATCACTTCTAAGTGCTCCTCAAAGCTGTGCCTTCTGGTGATGCTAAATAATTCCACTCCTTCTACCACAAGAAGGAAGGAGCTAGAAGAAGTGGATGAAACCCAGTTCAGAAGCTTCCGATCCGAGTAGTCTGGGGGTTAGCCCTGACTCCTTGGTGGGCAGAAGTGCTCGATAGAACTAGGCAAATCCGGCCACTCGCTTTGGGCTGTTTTCTAACGGGCAGTTCACAGGCATGGAACTGGGCCAGGTGACCCATTTCACAGACTCCCCTTAGCCCTGCATGGACGATCACTAGATTAAGGTTGACCAAAAATTAAAAACCAAGAAAGGTGAAAATATGTCACTTTTCTCGAGTTGTCTAATCAAGGAATCCACGTGTCAGGATCAGACGTCTCTATCGCTGGAAGAGGCCTCGGTGGGTCTTAAGAATGACTTGTCATGCTACAAACGAGGGAACTAATTTCCAGGGAGGTGAGGTGGCCCAGCCAGGGTCACAGGGGGATGAATACCAGCGACCGAAACTTCCTTGTGCCCACATGTGGCTGCCCATGACCTTAGACTCTGCATGCCCTTGCTCTTCATTTTCCTGACTCTGTGGCTGATGCTATCTATTCTTCGAAATTAGCTTTTTACTGAGAAGTAACCTACAGATCCTAAGGGGATAGCTTAGTCACTAGTACCCAGATCAAGAAACAGAACAAAACTAGCACCCCAGAAGCCCCCTCACGCTTTCTTCTGGTCACTTCCTCCAGGGTAACCACTGTCTTGAGCTTTGTTTTACTTTTTAGTCCAACTTCCTTAATGTAATATGCTGGTCTGACTTTTTTTTTTTTTTTTAAATCACCATACAAAGAACATATTTGATGTTGGTTTGAATTCAGAAAGGGGAATCTTTCCTATTTCAAGTGAAAAGGGTCCAACTTCCTGGTGGAATTATTCTCAGACCCACTAGTTCCTGAACTGGAATTTCCTTTTGTCTCCCTATTTTGAAATCGTGGTTCTCAGACATGTTCCTTAATTGATTGCCACCTTGAACCTCTGTGTTTCAAGAAACACTGGGCATTTCTGAACCAGCTTCCACCACCTGAAATTCCACACACATGAAAGCCCCTTTGTCCTCCGTGGGTGGTCTACCCACAAAGTCAGCTACAGAAAGACAAAGGGCTTGGGGTCTTAGAGGGTAAGAGGCAATGGGAGTGCATTTGGAAAAGCTCTGTGGCAGGGGACAGAATAAGCCGGAGGTGGAGGTGACGGCCTATGGCCTGGCAATTGGACAGGGCAGGCGTGTCAGGAGCTTGGATTTAACCCAGCATGGAGTGTGGACCAATCAGCCTAAGACCAGGAGGGACAAAGTCAGCTTTATTGCCCCACTGTAGAGAGAGGGTTCACAGAGCAGAGGAACCGTGGGCTGTCTCACAAACAGAGGATAAGGGAGCTTGATTAGTTATGGGGTTGGGAAAAGGTGACGTGAATACAAAGGCCTGTCTTGATAGGCTCGATGCACAACAGGGCAGTGTGTAAAGGGCTCAGCGTCAGCCCAGACTTCAAAGCAGGCTGTTCTCTCTTTGGGACCCTCCAGGCTGAGGTAGATGGGCAATATTGCATCTGATACCTCGCGTCACAAGCTCTGTGTTGGGGACCGAAAGTGAGCCTGCTTCTCTGATGAGAGTGGGATGTTTCCTTCTCACTGATAGAACTTCAGACTGCAATGCTCCCGAGAGCCTAGGATTTTAGAGAACCAGCTTTCTCTGTGAGTGAGGAAGCAGTCATCATTTGGAGGGAGGTTATTTTGACACTCGACAGCTGACTGTGTCCTGGGAAGGAATGTCTGTCCCGTTCGCTTTGTGGCTGCTTTATCTGCGTCCGTCATTCCAGCCTGATCAGTGGTGGGACCCACTGGTCCCTACCAGTGCCTCAAGCTGTACACTTTCTTTCACCCAAAACGAGCAAATAAATAAGTAGATACTCTCATTTCCTTCCTGCCATGCCGGGTCGCCCTCGTGAACAAAGGGACTCTGATCTAGTCCTCATAAGCTGCTCCTCTACCTAGACTGCCCTCCCCGGCTGCACATATTCAGGTCCTCTCCATCCACGCGATCCAATTCAGTAAGCCCTTTCCAGTGACAGGTTCCTGGGGACCCAGTGGGAAATGCAGTCTCCCTCCGCCAACTCTCTGGACTTGACCCTTTCCTCTCCTCAAGGCCCTGTCTCGCTTTCCAGCCTGCGTCCTGGCTGTGTCCCCACCTTATTTCTCCCCCATTAGACCTTGACCCTGGCAGACAGCACGCACTCCCTTATATAAATCACCCATTCCCGGGCCCCTCCTGGAGACGTCCTTGTTTGAGAGGTCTGACGTGGAGCCGGGCAACCGTATCATTTTGAAGTTCGCCAGGTGGTTGGTTCCCTGGCCAGGTCTGGAAGCTGCGGCCCCTGGAGCAGCCAGTGTGGTACCCGGTGTAGAGTTGACATTCATGAGTTCTGGAGGATTCACTCGAATCCAGTTATAAGCACAGCCTCCAAGGCTGAGGGCCACCTTGGTCTGGTCCCCTCCTGCTGCGCCATCGGCCTTCATCCCCAGTAACACATCCTGTGACAGGCCCCTGCTCCCTCCCCGCCCCCTTGAGTCCGTTCACTTCACACCCTTTGAGCCTCTCCTGTCCGGCTCACTGCTGCATCCCCAGCATCATCAGATGAACACAGTAACACCCCCAGATTGGAATCACAGCCCCGGATCCCTCGAGAACTTCAGAATCACCTGGGAGGTTCACTGAAACTGCAGATTCCCAGGCTCCCCACAGGACTCAGAGACCCCAGTACAACTGACATGGGGCCCGGGAATCTGCATTTGAGCCTGCTGCCCAGGTGAGGCTGACGCAGGCAGCTGTGGGCCCCCACGTGAGGAAGACTGGCCGCCACCTCGGGACTTCCCCTCCCATGTCCTGGGTCCGAGGTCTGAGGGAAGGGCCGCCAGGCAGGGGTGCAGGGACATGGCCTCCACACTGTCAGGCTGCCTTTGTTGTGTGAGGGTAACTTGGAACATGATCTGCGGACTCTGCAGTGACGTCTCCTTCCCTTGGCTCTTCTTTGTCTCCCCAAGGCCCTCTTCACCATCCCCAGACCTGCTTGGGCCTCGTTGCCAATGCTGCCTTCCCAGGTGTATGATGTACCGGCCCAGAGCCGGGGTCCCCCAGCCCTGAAGGTGAGTGTCAGCCCTGGTCCTGCCCGGCCCGTGGGGTTCCCCATGTCAGGCAGATTGCTTTTCTGCATTCAAGCAGGTGCCGCCGAGCCTCTCCTCTCTCCACCTCTCCTCTCCCCGCACCTGCACCTGTTGCTGAGCATCTGTTCTCCTCTCCCCGCACCTGCACCTGTTGCTGAGCATCTCTTCTCCTCTCCCCGCACCTGCACCTGTTGCTGAGCATCTCTTCTCCTCTCCCCACACCTGCACCTGTTCCTGAGCATCTCTTCTCCTCGCCCCGCACCTGCACCTGTTCCTGAGCATCTCTTCTCCTCGCCCCGCACCTGCACCTGTTGCTGAGCATCTCTTCTCCTCTCCCCGCACCTGCACCTGTTGCTGAGCATCTCTTCTCCTCTCCCCGTACCTGCACCTGTGGCCCGTGGATGAACACACTTGCTCCCTTTGCCAGGACAGATGCCAGGAGCACGGCTACGCCTTGGGCACAAAAGTCTTAAAGATATATGTGCAGGACTCGCCTCACTCACCTCACCCTCACTCCGGCCCTCTTGACCCTGTCTTTATTGAAAATTTTGTTCATCATGAGTTTTTCACACTGTGATATTTTTTTAAAAAAATGTTGCATCCCATTATTATTTACCTTGATGACCAAGAATTTTGGGGCCCCCTCAACTGTTTTGACCAAGGCATCTCCTGCACTTTCTTCACCCTGGTCCCCGCTCGAGAACAGGTCATCCCCAGCACAGCCATCAGATTCTCACCCTTAGCTTTTCCCAAGCCGGAGTTAGCCCCTGTGCCCCACAACCCCACACCCAGGTGGCACAATTCGTCATTGAAGGTCCCATTGGTGCACTTTCCACTCTGTCTGAGGGGAACGAAATGCACCCTACCCTTCCCCAGTGAGAAGGAGTCAGTAAGAAACTCACAGTTCGGCTCTCTCCAAAGAAACCCCTCTCCGGAGTCCAGCATTTTCCCTCTTTTTGTGCAGACCCTGTTTCGGTGCTTCTCCCTGTCGCTTTGGAATACACACCTACTTTTCACATCCTGATATATGTGTTTTCTAATTGCTGTACCAAAAAAAAAAAAATGCACATCATCTGTTTGGGCACCATGTCTTTTGCTCCTTACTGGATGTATATACGTCATTTGGCTTAGTGTCTTGGTGGTTAACAGGCGCTCAGTGAATATTTGCAGGATGAACACACAAATTACAAGCACAGGAAAATTTCTGCTGAGAAAAACAAACAAGAAAGACAGAAGCATATTAAGTCCCAATTCCATGTATTGCTTAGTCAATCCTAAGGCTAACTTAGAGATGCAAATGAGCCCCTGTTTTTAGGCAAGTTCATTCTCTCTCTAGTTTGTCCCCAGCTTCGGTCAAGAAGGCATCTTTTTATTTTTTTATTTTTTAAAAAAGATTTTATTTATTTATCCGAGAGAGAGAGAGAGAGAGCATAAGCAGGGGGAGCGGCAGGCAGAGGGAGAAGTAGGCTCCCCACTGAGCCCAGTGTTTGACTCGATCCCAGGATCCTGGGATCATGACCTGAGCTGAAGGCAGACGCCTAACCGACTGAGCCACCCAGGCAACCCAAGAAAGCATCTTTTTAAAGCACAAAGTCCATTGTTGAAAACATAACCACATAAACTTCCACCATGCGAGCATCATGACCAAAAGCCTCAAAGTCTTTGGTGATTTCTATTTTCATTTGGTAAAACAAAACAAAACACTGGAGTGGGCAGAGTTTGCGCAGGAAGGAAAAATCCAAGTTATCCTTTTCTGTCTTTCCCCAGGAGCCAGAGAAGCAGCTGTTATATGATATACCCCCCAGCCCCCAAAAGGCAGGACTTGGTCCCTTGGCCAGCCAACCACATGTAAGTATGACAAGGCACCAGAGATCTGATGCTAGGAAAATGTGAGCATCCTCTGGGACGTTTTATCAGCTTGGTCAAAATTGGGAATGCAAATTCCTCATAACAGAGCTTATTTCATTTGAAACTCCTGATGGCAGTGGTATTAAGGAACAGGTTGAGTAATGTGGTTTGGGCAAGTCCTCTCTCTTCTCCGTGCCTCAGTTTCTCATGACAGACTAATTGTGAGGATTGAGATAATTCTCGTGGGGAACCTCATACAGGTATAGTGTTTGGCACAGAGCAAAAGCTCAGTAGATCTTAGGAAAATTCTTCTTCTTCTTCTTTTGTACCTCAGAGATATGTTGTGTTAAGGTAGATTTTTATTTGTTTATAGGGGACATGCCTTAAATTGAAAATCTGTTCATTGTCGAATTGTCACACATTTACAGTACATATACCTATGCCCAAGTTTTTTGGGGAAGGCCTTAAAAAACAGATGACATCTCTGAAGTGTTGTGAGAGATGCATAGGAGTTTGTTAGAGGGCAAGGAGCGGGTCGGGAGGGCATGTAGAACAGAAGGACTGGTTTGGGAAAAATGAACTACAGTGGACTAAGGGAGCACTCTGAGTTCAGGGGAAGGTGAACCGCCGGGGTGACTGGACCCACAAGGAAGCTGGTGGCCGCCGTGGTGGGGAAGCTTAAAGGTGGGTACAACCAGATGATGAAGGGTCTTGAGTGATCATGGCAATGGGGAGCCACTGAAGATGCTTGAGGAAGGGAGTGACAATCAGATTTGTAAGAAGCACAGTACCCAGCACTTAGTAGGTCCTCAGTGTAGTTGCACCTTTGTCAAATGAGTTGCTCAAACCCTCTTTTTATTGCTACTGACCTGGGCATTTTTGTGTGGTTCTTCACAGGGGCAGAGTGCTCCCCTGGTGTCGGCAATTGCCGTGAGGCGAGGCAGCTACAACACGTTACCAAGCCTCCAGAAATCAGAATGGATTTATGACACACCAGTGTCTCCAGAAAAAGCCAATGGCAGAAATGCATCTTTGAGCAGCTTTGTGAAAGAATCAGAGCCCCACACTCCGCCCAGGTATATGTCCAGCTTCCAGAATCCTCCAAACAGCAGAGCAAGGTCCCTCTATCCACACCTGCATAAAAATGTGCCCATGCAGAAAAAACTCAGCCTTCCAGAAATTCCTTCTTATAAATCCCTGGCACCCAGGGACACATTTCCCTTGGACGAGGGCGCTGGTTACAAGGTGCCTTCAAGCTTTCTGAACCCCCGGGTGGAACAGAAAAACACCAAGCCAAACATTTATGACATCCCTAAAGTGATGCCGAGCGGCCCCCTGGCTGTGAAGGAGCTGGGGAGAGTCAAGGGGGCTCCGGAGAATGCCCCGGACCGCAGCTCCTCGTGGTTCTCTGGCCAGGCCCCCTCGCTGTCTCCGGAACCGGACAGGTTGTCCGTTTCCAGTTCTGACAGCAGAGCCAGCATTGTCTCCTCGTGCTCCTCCTTGTCCACAGACTCCTCGTCTAGCTCCTGCTCAGAGGAGTCAGGAAAGGAGCTCTCCTTGGATCCGGACTTGGCCAGAGAGACGGTAGCAGCTCTGCAGCATGAGGTGGCCCGTTCTGTCGCCAGCCTGATGCTCTTCGTCAGCAGGAAGTGGAGATTCAGAGACTGTCTGGAGGCCAACCTCAGCGCCATCCGCAGCGCCGCTGACCACGTGGAAGAATCTTTGAGAGCATTCCTGGATTTTGCCCGCGGGGTCCGTGGGACTGCCTGTAACCTCAGCGACACTAACCTTCAGGCCAGAATTAGGGACCAGCTACAGACCATCTCCAATTCCTACCAGATCCTGCTTGGAACAAAGGAAAGCCTGGATAGCTGCAATTGGTCCTTGGAAGTCCTCGTGACGGACAAAGTCCAAAACAGCCTGGATGACCTCGAGAGATTTGTCATGGTGGCGCGGATGGTTCCAGAAGACATCAAGAGGTTTGCCTCCATTGTCATTGCCAATGGGAAGCTCCTTTTCAAGCAGAACTGTGAAAAGGAAGATACCTTGCAAATGACCCCCAATGCACAACTGAAGCTTGCAAAATGCATCCAGCTTCCCCAAACGGAAATTGAATCATACCAAAGAAGTGCTCCTTTTAATGAACAAAAGGAAAGCGAACACTCCCCTGAGCTACTAAAGAAAAACGGGACAATTATCTGTGAACTGGTGAGTTCAGGGTGGTAAAATAGAAGGAGGCTTTCAAATTTCATCTGGAGGGGTCGCCCATCAGATGCTAAGAGCCTTTCACTATTTGTTAGATAGTTCAATAATTGGATATTTATTATCCAATAATAATAATAAAAATATCCAATTATAGAACTATAATTATAGAACTATAATTGGATATTGAAAGATAATGATCTTTCAATAATTTTTGAGAGACATTGGTTCCATTTAAAAAAAATTAAAATTCATAAAAGTAATGTAGATGAAATCTTATTAAGAAGTAAGATAAACACTTCAATATTAAGGCACGTAGGATGTCTTCTGGAAACTCCCAAGGGATAGTTTATCTCTAATACTAGGGTTAGGAAGGACTTTGAAAACCTTTTGAAATCTGTTCCTTGAGCACCTTTTTTTTAATCTCACTCCCCAGTTTCCTTGCACTTTTGAAAGTTGTTGATTTAGTCATTGTGTTTGTGTGTCTTAGAAACAGAAGAGGAAGTGTAAACACTCTTCCAAATTGTGCATGGTCTTAGCAGCCTCCAGACTGCAGTTACTGTTAGAAATTCTTTGCTGCATGAGTTCAGACGTTGTAGAAAGAGAACTTCTGGTTCAAGGATCGCAAGTGCCAAGAGGCATGGCACGTAACCCGGGGACAACATGACTTGGCCCTTTTAGCCCCAGTCTTTTTTTTTTTTTTTAGTGGCATTTTTTATTGTTATGTTAATCACCATACCTTACATCATTAGTTTTAGATGTAGTGTTCCATGATTCATTGTTTGTGCATAACACCCAGTGCTCCATGCAGAACGTGCCCTCCCCAATACCCATCACCAGGTTTAGCCCCAGTCTTGTGTGGTATTCTGTTAAAATGCCTGCTGGTTGGTGTAACAGCTTTCACACATTCTAGAGAAGCTAGAAACATGGGTATTTTTCATTCCCTAATTTAAAGATGTAGATATAGATAAAGAGGTATACTATACACAAATATAAATATAAATATATATATACAATTTTTTTAAAACTCATGTGTCCAGAGTGCCTGGGTGGCTCAGTCGGTTAGGCGTCTGCCTTCGACTCAGGTCAGTCCTGGGATCAAGCCCCACGTCGGGCTCTCTGCTCAGTGGAGAGCCTGCTTCTCCCTCTCCCTCTGCGTGCCACTCTGCCTACTTGTGCTCTCTCTCTATCTCTCTGTCAAATAAATAAAAACCTTTAAAAAATGTTAAAAAAATAAAAAACTCATGTGTCCTTGTATCAAGCCATGCTGGTAGGCAAAATTCAGCCCTTGGTCTTGCAGAGTCTCCTTTGTTGAAAAAAAGGCATCAGCCCTCTGAAACTAATAATATACTATCTGTTAATTAACTGATTTTAAATTTTTAAAAAAGGCATCTGGAGGCAGAACCATTGACAAAAATATAAAGAAAAATGCTCAAGTTTTAAAGTGGACTTAAATACCTCTGTACAGTGTAAAAACCACTCACGTTGGTAATTGGAAGGGATTTTATTTTTCAGAAGCTGCCTAACCTAGAAGAGACAGAAAAACCCGTCTTGGAAGGAAGGTTGGATGAAAACAAAAACTTCGAAGGACAGGTAAGTGATAGGGCTGGCTCTCCCGGACTTCTGACCCTTTATCGCTCGAGATGTCTCCTGCTATGAACAAGTCGGCATTCTAGCCATGACACCTTTGGGAGTAGATGTTTTTGTGACAGTTTTTCCTGTTTGCAGTAGAAGGAGCCCTGAACAAGTCCAGTGAACCCCAGTATGTGGAGCACGATTCTTGAACCATTAGTGACATAGTTCTCAGTGGTCTGCAGGTTTATCACGGGTGGGACTGACATGACCTTTGACATCCTCTTTTAATGCTTCTGATTACAATAGAAAAACTGTTTTGGTTTGGAGCTTGTGTATCATCAACACCTCTTTGGCACTCGATGTTCTTCCTTTTTTTTTTTTTTTTTTAGTCAAAGATGTTATCATTGTGCTTATTTTTTTGGTTACCTTCTACTTGCGGCAAATGACAATGATTTTCCAGTTACCAATCTGAAGAGTTTCCATTAAACTAGTATAAGTAAAACCAGTGGATTCCTTTAAAGACAAAGATGAAGCAAGTCAGGTTAAGAGGGAGGCAAAAAGGGGGCGCCTGGGTGGCTCAGTCGGTTAAGCGACTGCCTTCGTCTCAGGTCATGATGCCAGGGTCCTGGGATCGAGTCCCACATCAGGCTCCCTGCTCTGCAGGGAGCCTGCTTCTCCCTCTCCCACTCCCCCTGCTTGTGTTCCCTCTCTCGCTGTGTCTCTCTCTGTCAAATAAATAAATAAAATCTTTAAAAAAAAAAAAAGAGGGAGGCAAAAAGGGCATAACTTGTGAAGGTTGTCTGAATACCTGAAGCCTGGGGATCAGTGAAACAGATCAACTCCCTGGCTGGGGGTGGGTGCAGGTAGAGGAGGGAAGGACAAAGATGTCTCATGACATGGACAAGATCATTCGTCTTCTCAGGGGCAAACTAGAACGAGATCCCTAGGCTGGAAGTCCTAGGTCAGGGAGCCAGCATGGTCAGGTCCTGGGGAGGGATCCCCTCTGTTTTCTAATTCTGTCCTCTCGTGGCAGAGAGCAGAGGAGGAAATGAGCTCTGACAAGGGCATAATCCCATAACAGGGCCCCACCCAAAGGACCTCATCCAATCCCAGGTACCTCCCAAGGGCTCATCTCCTGCTACCTTCACGTAACAGGGTAGAGTTTCAACACACGAAGTTGGGGGGCACAAAAGTCAGACCCTCTCACACTGTCTGAGTGCTTCCAGGCTGTGAGTTTTGAGATCGCAGGTGGATGAGAGAGCGAGCAGTTTAACGAAAAGACTAAGAATTCAGACTTAGCCGACTCAGCTTAGAGCGCCGGCTTTTCATTTTGCTACATGAATAACCACGGGCAGCCCCCTCACTTCAGAGAGCACCAGTCTCCCCACCTGTCCTAACAAACGGGCTTTGGGTGATTACCCGGAGGGGTTGCCACTAAGTTAGATGCTGAGAACCTTTCAACAGTGCCTAGGCTTTGGAAGACATTGGTTCCACATTTCAGAAAATACAACTCATGGAAGTAAAATTCTAGATGAAATCTTACTAGCAAGTTGGAGAAATATAATATTAAGGCAGATAGGTCAGCATATTTGGATTTCTTCTAGAAATTTTGGGGGCTCAGGTTTACTGCCGATGTTGGAATTAGAAAGGATTTTTTTTTAATCCTTTAAAATCTGTTCTTTAAATTTTAAAATCTCACCATCAAGTTTTCTTTTATTTTTTTAAAGATTTTATTTATTTATTTGTCAGAGAGAGAGCGCGCAAACTGGGGGAGTGGCAGGCAGAGGGAGAAGCAAGCTCCCCGCTGAGCAAGGAGCCCGATGCAGGACTTGATTCCAGGACCCTGGGATCATGACCTGAGTGGAAGGCAGACGCTTAACCGACTGAGCCACCCAGGCATCCCTCTTTTATTCTTTTTAAAGTTATAGATTTAGTCATTGTCAATGTGCTTCTTGGGATGGGCTGCTAATGGTTTGTTGAGAGTATTGAATAAGATTTTATATATTTAACATGTAAGATTATATAGACAACACAATAGGTAGGATTGTATATATAAATACTATAATTTATATGTAACAGTGCTTTGAAAAGATTAATTTGTTAGGCAGATGGTGCACTGTGGGGCATCCCAAACAAAACTGTATTTTTTCTTATAAAAAGTCTAGAAAATTGAGCAAAATAGGAAACAGGAGACAACCACAGCCTGGTGATCAAATCTGTCTCTTATCAATTGTTTTCTTCCCTTTTCCAGAATCCTAGCTCCCCCATCCCACAGCCTTTGAGTCAGCAGAATCCCGAGAAGAGATTCCACCTTTCTGAACACTGCCGGCTCTATTTTGGGGCGCTCTTCAAAGCCATCGGCGTGTTTAACAGCAGCCTCAGCAACAGCCAGCCCCCCGAGATCTTCATCACGCAGAGCAAGCTGGTCATCATGGTGGGGCAGAAGCTGGTGGACACGCTGTGCAAAGAGACACAGGAGAGGGACGTGCGCAACGAGATTCTCTGTGGCAGCAATCACCTTTGCAGCCTGCTCAAGAACCTCGCGTTGGCCACCAAGCACGCCGTGCTCAAGTACCCCTGCCCTGCAGCCCTGGGGCACCTCCAGGCCGAGGCCCAGAAGCTGGAGCAACACACTCGGCAATTCAGAGGGATGTTGGAATGAGCCTCCTTCCCCTTCTTTCTCCCTCCCTAAGGTTAACCTCTTAGCTTCAGCTTCCCAGCCCCAACCTGTGTAACTCTGTCCTACGGGCAAAGCCAGCCTAGGGATGCACTGATGGGCAGAAGCTGGTATTACCAAGTGGCTAAACAACCCCAGGACATTGGCTTATGCTGCAGAGAGCCAGGTGTTAAATAAGAACCTTGCTAAGTTTTTAGCATAGCATAGCATAGCCCATAGTTAGCTGGGCATATAGCAGTGAATCATACAAAGGCCTTGTCCTCAGGGAGCTTACCATCTAGTGGGGAGATAGACGATAAGTGATGAAGAATTACATACACAATGTGTCAGGTGCTAGGGAGACAGTAAAGGAGGAGAGACTTATTTTCAAATGATGAATTTCTGTTGCATCTGTTAGCAAATGTGGTAAGGTTTTCATTTTGGACTGAATTAATTTTGTGAGATTTGGTACAAATTCTGTATCTGCATCTTATACAACATATATATATATATATATATATAACTTATGTGTGTATATATATATATGCTATACATATATATTCTATTTTATCTTAACCGAGTTAAAGATGCATGTCATATTTACAACGTAACATGTTCTGTTGGGTTCCTTATTAATTTATTTTGTATATAATAGCCTATGTTGATAAATTCAGTATGTTTACTCAGAAAAAGCTTGTACTTCAACAGTCTCAAATCTGTTACCATTTATAAAGTTATGTAAATATAATCATGAATTTAAGCATTCTTCGTAGCAATCCTTTCTTTGGAAGAGGTGGTGATCCATGTCACCCAGATTCTGGTACCAAAGCAAAGCCACCAATGTTTACTTTTCTTATTCAAATGCTTCTCCCCAAAGTGTGTAGGGAGATGCAGTAGACGCCAAGTGCTCATGCACGAGGCTAGTATGGCAAAAACAAAGCCATCACTCATGGTGGTGCAACCAGAAGGTGTGGTGTGGACAGGATATCCATTGCTGGGCACAGATCTGAAAGTGGTGCAGAGCTCCCCTCAAGGCAAACCACCTCCTCTTCCTCTCCTTGCAGCTGGGTCTTCAGCTCATGTTGCTATGGTTACATCATCTTTACTTCACTTCAAGTGAAGGTCCATGTCTCCTGTACACATCTCAACCACTAAACACCTTTGTAGCCTGGAACCAGCAGCCTCAGGCTGGAAGTCATCTGAAATGTCACCAGCCTGCCTGCTACTCGGCACTTAGTAGGCACTTCTAAATGGTTGACTGTTAGAAAGCTGATTATTTTCACCGAGTTACTCCTAGGGTCTCTAAAGAAAGATCGTATCTTTGTGAGGCTTGCTTGGTTCTCTAATTTAGAACAGAGAAGCCACATTCTTTGAACAGCTGTGATCTGTATTGGTTAGGACTCCTTCTGTTCCAAGTGATCAAAAACCATATCCAATCTTTCTTAAGCAATAAAGGAAATTAATTGACTCAAGTATCTTAAAATAACCCAGGGGCAGACTGGGTTCAAGGCCGGCTGGTGTGGGTGCCCAGTTTCTCAGTTCCACTTTCTCTGTGTTAACTCTCATGATTGCAAGGTGGCTGCCCCAGGTTATGTCCTTGGTTTGTGGCCAGAAGAGAAAAAAGAGGCTTGATTCTGCTTGGACTAGCTTAGAACAGGTGCCTGCCCCTGAAAGCCCCACAACAAGGAGGGCATGTAGTACCCAGGTTGACTTAGACTTGGGATTCAGCCCTCCACACAGGCGCATGTGTGCGTGTGTGCGCGTGCACACACACACACACACACACTCCCATGTGTCCCGAGAGAGGGAAAGAATAGCCCTACCAAGAACTATGACATGTCTGAGATTCCCCTACTTTATATTATTTTTTTTAAAGATTTTATTTATTTATTTGACAGAGAGAGAGAGACAGCGAGAGAGGGAACACAAGCAGGGAGAGTGGGAGAGAGAGAAGCAGGCTTCCCGCCGAGCAGGGAGCCCGATGCGGGGCTTGATCGCGGGACCCTGAGACCATGACCTGAGCCGAAGGCAGACGCTCAACAACTGAGCCACCCAGGCGCCCCTGAGATCCCCCTACTTTAAATTAACAAGTTAGCCTGCCAATTTCATGGATGTTGCAAGAAGACAGAAGATTCTGGGATCAGAGACTGTGTCTGGGGCCCCCAAGACCACGGCTAGGTCCAATGATTCGCAGGGAGGAATCCCAAGACTCAGCATTACGTTCGTACTCACGGCTCTGATCTATTACAGTGAAAAGAGACAGCAAAGGGAAAGGCTCAAAGAGTTCAGTACAAAGGAAATCAGGCTCAAGTGGCCAGGAGTCCTCTCTCCCTGGTCACACGGGACACTTTTAATTCCCTCAGCAACAAATTGTGACAGCACCTGTGAGATGATGCCCGCCGGGGAAGGTCACGAGAGCCTCCCATCCAGGGTTTCCATGGGGCTGATCATGTAGGCAGCCTGTACATGGCACATCCCCGAATTCCAGACTCTCGAAGGCAAGCAGGTGTCCAGCATGAACCACATTATTTGTACAAACAGCTTAGGCATGCTGACCCATTCTCATCAACTCTGGGGATGGTGGGCACCCTCCCCAAATCCAGGTTTTTATAAACAACCAAAGGCCAAGCTTGCAAGCCAGCCTTTCCAAGGATATTATTGATGCCTGCTATGTTAACTCCTCCGCCCAGAGACAAAGGATTTTCCTTACAGCCTTGCAAGCAGCTTATGCTTCATCTTTATATCATTTCTACCTCAGCCCAAGTCCCAGGGCAGAGCAAAACAGGATGCAGATGAGGCTATGCACACACTGAGTTTGTGTCAAAGCCAAAGAACTCAGCATAGGCAGCCCCAGTCTTTCCCAATGACCTCTGCGCAAACCTGATCAAGCCTTGCCTCAGAGCGAGACATTGTCTTTATGATACTGGACAGCAAACACACCTGCCTTTCTGCTCTGGAGAGAGACATGATCTCTGTCTTCCCAGGGCGTTTGCTAAAAACCGCCTTGAAGATGTAATTCAGAACAAAATGTCATCAATGCCTCTGCTCAAAGGACATGCAAAAATGCAAAGGCCCCAAGAACCGTGTCCCAACAGGGGCCCCAACCCAAGTCGGGAATTTTGTTGGAAGAAGGGCGGCGGCGCGGGGGGGG